ATGCTACGGACATGATGCAAATCTAAATTAATCTGGCGGAGGGCCTAAGTTGGAGGACATACCTGGAAGCCAGGCCGGTTGCCAAGCAGTGCACTACGTAATACCCAATAAATACCTAGGCATCATTCAGTTGATCGTCGGGCTCGCTTGCGGAGGGCGGGGACATAGCGGCCGGAAACCTAGCGGCCGCGTTCTTCTACCCTCATCCTTCTACCCTCAACCTCCTACTACCTACTATAGCTTGGCTGCCTTGGCAACCCGTACATGGTAAAGCTAACTGGGGCTTCTAGGTACCTAAGCTAACTATCAGCTCAGCTAAGAAACAGTTAGTTCAGGTAGTGGCAGGGAATCCACATGGACGGCAGGAACCATCGCGCTAGCGGACTCGGCTGGCGTGGGGCGCGTCAGCTCACTGCTTGCTGCGACGCCGGCAGATCGGATAGGGCTTTGTGCCCCTTAAGTGGGTACTGTAGGATGTGGAGACCCATGCAAGACCCACGCAAGATCCATGCAAGATCCACGCATAGATTATTCCATCTTTCTATAGCATGAATCTCTCTCTCTCTCAGTATGCGTGATAGTATGGTTATGTGTAGTGGCTTGGACCCCTGGCGTTGATGCATTATAATGATACCAGTCAGGATCACCTCAGGATCACCGTCCAGCGGTCTGGCTTCGTTGGTGGCTGAGTGTCGAGATAGTTGCTGTTAGCGCTGTGGAATAGGGGTGTGGATATGCATGAAATGTCCAGTCACTAGTTACTTTCAGCATTTCCAGCGCAGCATTCCCGGCGGGTTTATTTGGTCTTGATCTGCCTATAATCAACGAGCCTCGTATGACTGTAGAGAAACACGGCTTTGTAGCAGGGAGTTAAATTACAACTAGCACTACGCTACAGGGCCGAGAGCATGGACTCTAGTAGCGAGAAACCTTTGGCAACAGAAGTACGAAAAGTATCCGCGTAAGGAATACCCATATTCTAGTAGCGAAGAAGAAGCTCAGATTACTGGAAGCCCGAGTTGTGATATCCAGCTAGCAACTTCAAGCAAGGTGTCTAGTGACGAGCTACAAATAGGCGCACCATCATGCTTTTCGTTGGCACGCTTCGGACAACAGGTACGAAAATAATCTTCGAGATGGCTATATTAAATGTCCTCGTCTATTGAATAACGTACCCGGTGTTTTGCAGCTGGTACAAACAAGAAGATTGGTAATAAGCTACTACCTAGAGAATCAAAACCACTCCCTACCCAACTGCCGCCCCCTGCCGCTGCAATCCACTACACAACCCTCTAGCACAAAACAGCCCCAGAAAATCGTAGATCCCGTCAGCCCTAAGCACAAGAGCCGGCGTTCACGTCGGCACTAGACCTTGGTTAGCACATGAAAAGTAGAGACTATCCATGAGGCAGGGAATACTAACGTATACTGCCAGTTCGTGTATGACGTGCTGCCACCATATTCGCAGCCATTGACCTCCTTCTGGAAGCCATCGTAGCACTCCGCAGGACTGATGTATCTGGTTCCACCGGTGCTGATCCTCTGGAGAACGAAGTCGACCTTCTTGCCGCTGTCAAGGTCGTAGCAGGCGGCTAGCGGGTTGTTGTCGGACCAGTCCTTCTGGCTGTACTTGGAGTTGCACACATCCTGTGCACTGCTGAGCGCTATGGCCTTCTGCGTCGCGAAGTTCTCGCCGCCACTGAAGCAGCCGGCCATCACCGAAGAGGCCGTGGCGACAAGGGCGAGGATGGAGACATGCATGATGAATGAAGTAGAGTTGAAATGGGTGTACTTTGGTGGTTGGTTGTGAGTTGAGTGAAGGATGTCTAGATGGAAACAGAGGAGGATGCTGTGTTGGATGAGATGGTTAATTCTTTTCGTCCTGGAACCTGACTACTGGGAGGCCTTTATAGGAATTCGCAAATGGTTGTCTCAGAAGACAATTCATCGCATCCAGCAGCAAGGCTTAGTTTCTAACCGAGACTCCAATGTCACCGATAGCCTTGTCCGGGAGACGACGCGAGCGGTGAAGGATCTCTTGGTCCAGTCGAGCTGTAATACAGGAATTGTATCCTAGCTTTGATCGTCGTCATTGCCATCGAGCGACCAGGTTATAGAGAAGCAGCGACGATCCGATGACTGCACTTCGACCGACAATCAGAACAGAGCTATCCGTGCAATGACCATTGCGGCTAATATCTGGGCCCGCCTCCATTGGGCTAGGATATATCGCCATTGGTAGGCTCATCGGGTTTTGCCGTCGTTCTCGACAGAGTAAATTGTGACCAACATCTTAGGACGTCGATCGATCTTATTAGAATCCTACGGGGCTGACAACAACATCATATGTTTCTGTCTTAAACTGCTGGGACCAGAGGTCTAATTCACAAACCACTTATACAATGCTGTCCACGAATTGTTTGTACTGCTAAGAAGCCTATACGCACCGGCCCTTTTGGTGTACCTTTATCGTTAGAAGGCCACGTGTATGTGTCTTAGTGTGTCAGTATACGCTATGGCATTCTCATACATATGCGTGTAGTGTACGTGAAATGAAGTATAGAGTACGCCATATAAAGGGGCCTATGGGTAGGGGAATAATTACATAAGATATAGTCTCAACCCCAGACCCGGGCTTGTTGATATTACGCATTTCCCAGCCCAGCCAGGCTTTGATGCCGCTCCACTTCACGGTCTCCACGGTTCGCCCCACAGCTTGTAATCAGTCAAGGATGTAAACGTTCAGCTGCTGTTATCAAAGCCTTCTTTCGGACCTATTGTGGTATGTGGACATGATCTTCCGCGGTTCTCATTTCCTGGCTATGTATCTAGCTAGAATTCTTGTTTCTCCCCACCATCTCCACCAGGGATTCTTTATGCATGGAAGGATGTGGAGTTACAGCTTGCTTAGGCTTGCCCAGAGTCTCGGCGCCAAAAGGATCACAATCCATATCGCAATGGTCACTTGGGACTGGTGCTGTACGAAGAGTCTACGTAGTTGTGGTATGATCAAAGCTCCCGAATCATTATTGTCTGACATGCTATACCTATCCTATGTATATAACGCTATATTTATAAAAGGAGACTTGCTGAGAGCCCACTGGGAGTAGACTTAGGGCCGCTAGTCCGCCGCGGGCCTCACCGTGAGGCCCGCAATCTACACTATGCCTATGTATCGTTAAGATCATCTGGAACAATAGCTGTAGCCTTGCATATGTCGATTGATGTTAATGCGTGCATTGACTTTGGCGAACAGAGGCGGCCTGGTGGACGAGTATAAGTAACATGCTACTTCACCACCTAAATCAAAAACTGATTCGCCCAGCATCTGAACCTGTCACTCACAATCACGAGCACAATCCAATTATCACTTACGACAAGCACCTCAGCAAATCCCTCAACATGCAGTTCCTCACACTCTTCGTTTCCTCCCTCGCCGTATTCGGCGTCCACGGAGCTACTGTTCCCCCTAAGCTGAACAGTGGGCGCGGAGTCGTCCCGGCCAAACGCGCTACTGGGGTACGTATTCACGCTTCTTAGCTTTTATCAAGGTGATGACGTCGCTAACACCTTCAAACAGCTCTGCAGCTATGACGGTTACTGTACTGTTCAGGGCGTTCGTAAGACCTGCCAGGTTGGAAGGGTCAGTCTTCCCTTCTTGAGTTCCCTCGTGTTTTCGTATTTCCGGCAATGTGCTAACCAAGTATATAGTGCTCGGAGGAGGGATCCGATTGCGATGACGACGTTGGTATCGTCTCCTGCCGTTAAATGCTTGCGAATGGAAGTACGGGAGGGATACTATTGGTCTTTTAAATTTCGCGCGGACGTTTAGTTTGTCACGCAGACTAGGTTTCGAAGTTGGTGGACTGGTTGATGTTTTATGTTGGCGAAGCAAGTGTTGGCGGGATATTATCTGCTTCATCTAGTTTTGTATAGTACCAATTTAAGACCAATTCCTTTAACTTGCACTACGTCGATGCCGTATTCTCCTGCATGGGTGCGTCTTCATTACTGAGAGCTAGCTGTATATTTAGTTTCTGATTCGTTCCATAGTTTGAAGGTCCCCCATAGACCTTCGCCTATTGCCTACATCACCTGAGCAGCCCACACGGGGCGACTTGATTGTGACGCTCGCTCTGGCCTGGGAAATAGAAAATAGCCAACGTGAGCTTAGGATAAGTACACCCTGAAACACTTTAAGACACTTGAGTGGAAGGTAAAAGAAAAAGAAAATAAGAAGAAGAAAAAAAGAAGGGAGGGGGGTTAAGAACCTATACGTGAAGACAAGTGATAGGCAGAACTTACCTTATTCACAGTCAGCTCAAGGTGTTAAGAAACCCAACCTGCTACAACTAGCACCTCTCGTCGATGGATCGGTCGACACCTTGGTTAAACTTGGTCATTTATATTTTACCAACTTCACCACGCAGATACTACCTGCAGGTTGTGATCGGGCCTCATTTGTAGATATGCTCTTCCTCTTAGAGCTCGAACTGATGCGTTCGCATTCGATTCACTCGTCGACTCTTTCGGAGTAGCCGTGAGCGCATACACGGCGGAGTGGGCCCACCACCGGAGGAGGTGTTCGGCAGCTTTGACTCGTCGGCATGGGACTTCGGAAGCGCTGTGACCGCGGCCATAATCCGAACCGGCTAAACAGGTGGTCAACCGGCCAGACCAGGTCCGGCCCCACCCGACGCCGCGGACGGCGCAGTCTTCGGAAGTGGTTGCGCATACTTCTTACGTCACAATGCACCGGATGGTGGGGCTCACATCGCTTGGCAAACCTCTAGGCAGGTAGCTAGGTACCGTAGTACCTAGTAGTTAAGCACTCATGGCAAGTTGTCCGCCACACTGCTTCAAACAAGTGTATATGAATCCAATTATCAACCCTGTCAATTCAAGCGCGGGAATAGAACGACAAGAAAGAACACAAATGTTCTCACACAACAGGGACAACTGATACTCACGACTCATACTGAGTATTCAGGAATCTTGAATCCGCATTGGTGTATCGGTAACATAATTCGCTTTCAATATGCTTCTTCGAAGCTGTGAAGGTCCGAGTAGCGCGGGGTTCGACTCCCCGATGCGGAGCGTCTTTTTTGTCCTTTCTTCCACACTGGGCAAGTGGTTACACTGCCTTTCCTTCAATTAAGCCTGCTCCGCCCTATATAATTTTTTGGTAGGCGACGACTTAGCGCCTTTACGAAGTACGATCTCGGTGATTATTAAAGTGCGACGCACTATGTATGACTCGTTTAGTTAAGTCATCGCTATAGTAATATACTTGGTGAAGCTAATAGGTACGGGGTACCTAAGTTGTCCTAACTTACATAGCACGCCCAAAACCCCAAGAAAGGTCGGGCTGTAACGCGACTATACGGTCGCGCTCTCATGTGGCGTTAAATACTACCTCATTACTATTACTACTACTGCAGAATCCTAAAACCGGAAGTATTTAGTTACATGACTTAACTATTAAAAGACGCGTCATGAATATGGCCAGCTAGCCAGCCAATCCAAGCCATGAAGTTACTAAGTGATGTCTCCACCAATGCGGTTTGAAGCTGCTTATACCAGTATATATTATCATAAAGGGGCTTTACTACGATGTAAACGCATGTTATTCCCGTCTACGGCCCAAGAAGTGTCAAGTGTGAGATGTCGGAGTCGGGAAGCTCGGGACGCTAGGAAGGTCTAGCAGGGATTATGTATGCACTTTACCTCCCTAGGCAGTGGATATTAGCAGTAATAACTGTCAAAACAACTAGGATCCCCTCCTGCCAGCAGCCAGCAGCCAGTACCAACACCAGCACGCAAGCCTGTCATCCGTACATAGCAAGCATACAACCTACGTACACCACTTACTCACTCCACCTCTTACTTCTGCCGGCGAGGGACAGAGCGGGACACTCAAGATCCAACATTTGTTGACTGTTGCATTTCTCTGTAGATGACTTAGGTGTCTGATCTATTGGGACTGCTATCGTAACGTCTTAGGTTTTGCCTTCTCGGGTTCGTTTCGCGCGTATGCTCTGTAGTTGCAGCCTTTACGTACCGTACCGCCTCCGACCGTCTGCCTACGCGATTCGACCCCCTCTCGATCCTGTCAGCAGCAGCGTCGAGTGCCCTTCGTAGCGCTACGACACAAGTCAACGCGAACACATAATCAGCATAATAGTAAATACCATTACGAGTCCGATCGATTCTGCGACCACAGCGAATAGACTGCAAGATGGCGCCCATATCCCCTCTGGTACCGTTATACACATGTCTGCTAGGTTTGGCCGCCGTGCCTTACGTCGCGGGGCATGGACACGATATGACAAAGATCCCAGAAGGCGAGGCTATCTCAAAAGACCCTATTGTATGCATTTCAGGCCTACCGATAAGAGACGGTCTGAAGGAACACGCAGAAGCTGATTGGTACGACAGGACACGACATTATGGGCACATATCTTAATTCAGACGGTTGCTTGGGGTGTCATATTTCCCTTTGGGATGGTCCTTGGGGTGAGTACATACATGTGCGCATGCACGCATGCATATACGCATACTTGACCTTGACGCCGTGGGTTCTCACCACCAAAATTCAACTCCTTTCTGACCGGGTCGATTCTCTTGCTCTAGATCGTGAAATCTCGATGGCACGTCCCAGTCCAATCAGCCGGCACCGTCATCTCTATCCTCGGATATTTCTTAGGTCATTTGCACAAGGGTCGCGTGTTCCGTCACAACGTCCACGGTAAATTCGCATCGCCGATCTCGCTCCTCTTGCTCCTGCAAGTCGTCATGGGCATCTATCTCAAACTACACCTCGAGAGGGGCATAAATGGCAAGGTGCGACCCTTCGTCAGGATAGGGCACAGCATCCTGGGTAAGATGATGCCGGTGTTCGCATGGGTCCAGATGGTGTTCGGCGGCATCACGGCGCTAGGGCTCTGCCAGGGCGATCACGTCGGAGGGTGTCTGGCGCATTTCATCATGGGCAGTTCGTTCATCGCGTACGGAATCATTCTGACCATAATGCTGCTCGTCGGACAGCTGTGGATCAGGCGTACCGGCCGGTCGCAGGAATTCTTCGATAGCGTCGTGATTGCCGCGTGGGGCTGCGTCAACACTTTTACCGAGCATAGGTGGGGCACTAGCTGGGCTCAGAACGACTGGCAGCACACTACGATGGGCATCATCTGGTGGTGTGCCGGTCTGGCGGGCATCTGGTTCAGCAAGGACCGCGATGGCCGTCCTCAGCGCAACTTCATCCCTGGTTTTGTGCTGCTGATGACAGGGTGGGCCATGAGTGCCCACACCCAAGAACACCCAATCAGCGCCCAATCGCATACCGTCTTTGGTTATACCTTGATGGGAGTCGGTATCACAAGGATCATCGAGATCTCCTTTGTGCTCCGAGATCGCGTGGGTCTCTCGGAGGACGGCCGTGCGATCAGCAGTTTCCAGTACATTCCCATCTTCGTAAGCCTTCTCCCCAACATACTTGGATTGTATCGAAATAAGTAGTGCTTACCACGCAAACAGTTACTGTACGCTTCGGGGTTCCTGTTCATGGGGTCGAACGAAGAGCAAATGGATCTCGTGTCCGAGTCGGGCATGGACCACGTCGCATATATCCTGATCCTCTACTCCCTCGCCTTCATGGCTTTCTTGTTCGTCAGCATGCTCGTTTCGGTGTATGACAATGCTATGGCGCCTGGCTCTCCGGACAAGGAATTGCCCGAGGGTAGGTTGGGCCCACGTCTCAATGGGGGTGTCCCCGTTAGGGATGCGCAAGAGTTCGAGCTTGAAGGCTTGATGAGCGACGACGACGATGATGACACCCCAGGCAATAAAGGTCCAGCGAGTCTTGACACCCCTAATGGGGAGGAAAAGGCCGGAAATGGAAATGCGCGGTAATCGACAATCGCATTCAGAATTAATTAATGATTTATGCCCCCGGAACGGCCTGAATTTCTTCATATATATAAACACCCATAATCTCCCGGCGTCTTTGGTACCGGACCATTAGGAGGGATTGAAGGACTTGGTATTACTATGCTTGAAATGGGAAATCATTCTAGGAGCTCTGTCGCATCTCATGGTCTCCGCCACTCCTAGTATCTCCTTCAATCTATATGAACCATTTAATCGGATATCTCAATGCTCAGCCTAATTGGGCAGAATAATCTGAAATCCACGGAAACTATCGACACGCGTTACAGCACCAGCATCTGCACTTTCTCGGCCGAAAGGGCTGGCAATATCGGCATAAGGGCTGCACATGTCATCGTGATTCAATGATGCGTATGTTGGACGGGGTATGATGTCATCTAGCAGTAGTGAGTGTGCCTCTTCGCTTGATCGATTACTGTCTTGATTACTGTCGAGACAAGATCTCACAACTGAAGGCATAGGTAGAAAAGAAAAGATACATAACAGATTGAGATTCATAGAACGCACAAGCCGTCAAGTATGAGTGATCCCAACAACCCGAACGTTGCGAACCGCACCACACCCCAATGGGGTCTGTACCAGCGGGAGCTTTTCTGGGGCCCCAATGAAGGGAAGCGCCCGCCTTTCAACACACGTCAGTCGCTACCTGTTCAGAGCCCAATTCGTGATCTATCTCATCCTTGGCTGCATTCGCGAGTGATGACTGCGTAGACTAACATACCTATCAACCAAGACCCCGACAAGCTGCGCGAACTCGCCGAGGAGCGCTTATCGAAGGGCGGATGGTACGTTGGCGCATCCCATCTTTACCATTACCTAGCAGGTAGCTCTATCACTCCTTATAAAAGACTGACCGCTACCCAGGCTCTACGCCTCCTGCAACGCAGGCCTGTCGTGGACGCACCACGCGAACCGCGCGGCCTTCTACCGGCACCAGATCGTGCCGCGGACGCTGGCGGACACGCGGGCCCGGGACACGGCGACGACCATGTTTGGCGGTAAGTGCAAATTTAGCTACCGCGCCGCTGCCCCCGTCGGCTTCGCCCCCATCGGCATCAACCGCATCTACCACGCCACGGGCGAGCGGTCGCCCGCCCGCGTCGCCGGCCAGCTCGGGCTCGCGTACTGTCTTAGCTCCGCGGCGAGCTACGGCATTGAGGAGGTCGCGGAGGCGAATGAGGAGGGGTTTCGGGAGGGTGAGGGTGGTGGTGGGAGTGGGAGTGCTAGTAAGGGAGGCAGTGGTACTGGTGACGGTAATGGGGACGGTGGCGCCCTCCGCTTCTACCAGCTGTACTGGAGCCCCGACGACGCCGTGACCCTCAGCATGCTGGAGCGCGCTGCGCGCGCCGGCTACGCCGCCCTGCTCCTGACGACCGACACGTGGCAGCTGGGGTGGCGGCACGACGACGCCGCCGCGGGCAACTACGCCTTCTACCACGAGCACGGGGCGGGCGACCTGGGGCTTAGCGACGCGGCGTTCCGGCAGCGGTTGAAGGAGGAGGGGATCGACCCCGAGACGAGCCCGAAGGAGGCCGGCGCCCGCTGGATCGACGGCCATATCTGGCACGGCCACTCCTTCACCTGGGACCGCGTCCCCTGGCTCATGGACCAGTGGCGCCGGATCAGCGGGGGCAGGCCGTTCTGCATCAAGGGTATACAGCACCCGGGCGATGCAAGGAGGGCGGTGGAGTTGGGCGTCGATGGTATTGTTGTTAGCAATCATGCTGGGCGCCAGGTCGATGGCGCGGTCGCGAGTTTGGATGCGCTGGAGAGGATTGTGGAGGCTGTGGGCGATAAGACTTATGTGAGTGCCTTGCCTTGCCGTCTCTACCTCTTCCCCTTCCACTGTTGGCGCTCGCTTCAGTGGTACTTCTGTACCTGATGCTGCCGCGAATTACTCGGTAGTTAGGCACGTGAATTGCTGGCGATCCTGACTCACCAAACTGCGTTATGTAGGTTATGTTTGACTCGGGTATCCGCGGTGCCGCCGATGTCTTCAAGGCTCTCGCGCTTGGCGCCAAGTTCGTCTTCGTTGGGCGTCTGTGGGTGTACGCGCTCGCTGTCGGTGGCGAGGAGGGCGTCAGACACGAGATGAAGGCCCTCTTGGCTGACCTCGATATTTTGATGAATGTCGCGGGCTACCCTAA